GGGATGGGCCCCTAGATATCCCTTAGGGTAACAACAAAAAACAAATTTAGGAACAAAAAGAGGAAAGCCCCTCCCCCTTGTGCCATGTCATGAGGATACCTGGAACACCTATTGAAATGTTCCTTTTGTCAGGTGATAAATGAAGTGAAAAATGAGTCTGGAGTGCCACTTTAAATACATAAACGTATCCAGGAAGTTTGGGATGAACATTCTCGCTGTGCAGTATGGGGTTTCTGAAAAAAACATGAACAAAAGTTCCAAAAATACCCAAATGTGACATTTTAGAAACGGAAACGCTCTCAGTATAGTGATGCAGGTCTTTAGATGTTGTGCACATTAAATTGTGTCATTCCGCACTTTATCCGCAACGTAATATTTTATTTTGTTTGCGACTCGAGCGATACGTCTCCGTCCATTCTAGCAGCAGGCATAACACATTTAGATTGTCCTTTAACACCGCTTTGAATTTCCTTGAGATGATGTATTTCTATCTATCTCATCTAATGAAAGTCACTAATACAAATGGAATGTATGATTACTATCATGATTATCAGATGACTCAGGAATGGTTGTTTCTCTCTAAGTTTCTTCTTAGGTTCCTTCCTTCTTAGGGAGTTTTCCCTAGCCACTGGACTTCTGCTTCTGCATTGCTTGCGCTTTGGGGTTTTGACCGGGTATCTGGAAACTGCTGATTTTAAAAAGGGCTTTATAAAATCAATTTTATTGATTGTTTATCAGGTTGCTAGGACGTCGTCAGGTCCCAGCATCATCATATCCTTCTTCATCGCTGCCGTGGCCTCTGTCTTTGCCGGCTTGTGCTACGCTGAGTTCGGGGCCCGCGTCCCCAAAACGGGGTCTGCGTATCTGTACAGCTATGTAACGGTGGGAGAGCTACTGGCCTTTATTACCGGGTGGAATCTGTTGCTGTCCTACGTCATAGGTAAGATACAACAATATACTACTTCATTCTAGTTTCCGAACTATGATTTTGGGAGTGAACTATTCCTATCTGTGCTACACTCACCGGACAGTTTATTAGGTACACCACCCCGTTCACAAAAATGGATCGCTCCTACAGACAGTGAGTCATGTGGCCGTGGCGTGTTCTACAAAGCAGGCAGACAGGCATCGGGGCATTCAGTTACTGTTCGATTAAACATTAGAATGGGCAAAATGAGTGACCTAAGTGACTTTGAGCGTGGTGTGATCGTCGGTGCCAGGCACGCCGGATCCAGTATCTCAGAAACGGCCGCCCTCCTGGGATTTTCACACACGATGATGTCTAGGGTTTACCGAGAATGGTGTGATAAACAAAAAACATCCAGTCAGCGCCAGACCTGTGGGCGGAAACAGCTCGTTGATGAGAGAGGTCGATGGAGAATGGCAACAATCATGCAACCTAACAGGCGGGCCAGAAACAGATAAATGACGGCCCAGTACAACAGTGGTGTGCAGAACGGCATCTCGGAATGCACAACTCGTCGATCCTTGTCATGGTGGGCTATTGCAGCAGACGACCACACCGGGTTCCACTCCTATCAGCTAAAAACAGGAAGAAGCGGCTCCAGTGGGCACGCGATCACCAACACTGGACAACTGAGGAGTGGAAAAACATCACCTGGAACATGACAGCGAGTTCAGTTTACTTGAGTGGCCAACGCTTTCCCCAGACTTCAACCCAATAGAGCATCTTTGGGACGAGATGGAACGGGCTGTTCACAGCATGAATGTACCACCGTCCAATCTGCCGGAACTGTGTGATGCCATCGTGTCAGCATGGACCAACATCCCTGTGGATCGTTTCCGACACCTTGTAGAATGCCCCGAAGAATTCAAGCTGTTCTGAAGGGAACCGGTACTAGATTTGAGTGTACATCTTTATTGAGGCATGAACAACATGTTTATAATGTTGTTAATATAACATTGGCTCCCTGGTGTAATAAAAAACATTTTGTCTCAGTGGCATGGGACCATTGAAAACCATAAATGATCAACCAGAAATACAAGACTCTAATGTCTTCCTTTAACCTTTAATCTCTGACTTTAACCCCCTGCAGTAAAACGTTGATTCACCATCATCCATTTATTGGCTCCAGTCCAGAGCCATATACAGCATAGTACAGAGAGAGAGAGAGGCAGAGAGAGAGAGGCATGAGAGAGAGCAGGAGAAATAGAGGTAGAGGGAGAGAGAGAGAGAGAGAGAGAGAGAGAGAGAGAGAGAGAGGAGAAGAGAGAGAGAGAGCAGAGGAGAGATGAGGAGAGAGGTGGGGAGAGAGAGAGAGAAGCAGAGCAAGAGAGAGAGAGGAGGCAGATATAGGGAGAGGAGAGAGAGAGCGAGTATGAGAAGGGGAGTAGCGATGATAGTAGAGAGAGATGAGAGATTAAGAGAGCTGAGATAGATACGTAGAATAGAGAGAATCGGAACGAATCAGGAATGAGATATAAGGAACGTACTGCTCAATAGATTTAGATTCTATTATTCAGAGTTATTCAGAGAGATAAGAGAGTAGCAGACTCTGACTAGAGAGTTAGAGAGGAGACTCTGATATAATTCAGCCTAGATACCTGATTCTAGAGATGAGATTTGTCAAAACCCCCCGTAAAAACTTCCCTCCCTTTAAGCTTTATTCCAAAAATTTTTTAAAAAAATTTTTAAAAGAAAGGACCAAAAAAATTTTAAAAGCCAAAAACAGAGAGATAAAAGGGGGGAAAGCCCCGGAAACTGAGAGTTACACATTGGGGCGAACAAAAAAAAAAAGGGAAAAAAAGGCCCCGGAAAAAAACCCCCAGGGCTCTGGAAGGGCCGAAAAAAAGACAACCAGAAAAAGGGGAAGTTTTTAAAAAAAAAGGGGAAAAACCGTTAAAATTTTTTTCCCGCCGGGGTTAGATAAAAACAGGAGAGGAGAGGGGGGGCAAGAAGGGGAGGAGAAAAGAGGGAGGGAAAAGGGAGAGAGGGAGAGAGAGAGGAAAAAGGAGAGAAAAGGGGGGAAGAGAGAGAAAAGAGGGGAAGAGAAGAGAGAGAGAGAGGAGAAGAGAAGAAGTCCCCTAACAAGCGGTCCTGGGGCTCCGTTCACTACAGAGAATGAACCTGGAAAGAGTCCCTAACAGCTGGTCTGGGCTATGTCACAAACACAAACGACCCCACAGAGCCCAGGATAGCAACACAATTAGACCCAACCAAATCATGAGAAAACAAAAAGAGAATTACTTGACACATTGGAAATAATTAACAAAAAAACAGAGCAAACTAGAATGCTATTTGGCCCTATACAGAGAGTACACAGTGGCAGAATACCTGACCACTGTGACCGACACAAATTTAAGGAAAGCAGACTCAGTGAGCATAGCCTTGCTATTGAGAAAGGCCGCCGTAGGCAGACCTGGCTCTCAAGAGAAGACAGGCTATGTGCATACTGCCCACAAAATGAGGTGGCAACTGAGTTGCACTTCCTAACCTCCTGCCAAATGTAGGACCATATTAGAGACACATATTTCCCTCAGATTACACAGATCCACAAAGAATTAAAAAACAAACCCAATTTGGATAAACTCCATAATAACACAGTGTCATGACAGCAGCATGATTTGTGACCTGTTGCCACAAGAAAAGGGCAACCAGTGAAGAACAAACACCATTGTAAATACAACCCATATTTATGTTTATTTATTTTCCCTTTTATACTTTAACTATTTGCACATAATATGACTTTGAAATGTCTTTATTCTTTTGGAACTTTTGTGAGTGTAATGTTTACTGTGAAAAAACAACAATGTTTATTTCACTTTTGTTTATGATCTATTTCACTTGCTTTGGCAATGTAAACATATGTTTCCCATGCCAATAAAGCCCATAAATTGAAATTGAATTGAGAGAGAGAGAGAGAACACAGTTTGTACGGCAGTTTCAACCAGGAGGTGCTACCATGCTCTTAAAAAAACCTCCATGGCAGTTAAGTTAGCACCTCCTGGGCAATACTGACCCATAAAAACAAATGTTAAGAGTATAGCCCTACTCACAGAAGTGAAGTATCTGAGATACCTAACCTTAACCAATTGGAGTCATTTACCTAAGCTTAAACCAATCACGTTTCTTGCCTAAACTTAACCAATCACATTAATCTGCCCTCGAGGGCGCTCTCTGCGCTCTCTGTATGTACTTTATGAAACAACACACTACATTTCTGATTCATAATGAGAACTGAACTCTCTCCTCTTATCGGCATGTTCTCAAGGACACTGCGTGATAAAACGATGATCACTGATTGATGGACTGATTGTGTAGCACTTTACACCCGTACCCATAAACGGGTTTGAAAATGCTGTAAATTAAGAGGACGGCATTATGGTATTTTGAAAGATGAGATGTTGAGGATTATAATAAATACCGCTTTGATGTCATACAAGCGAGCCAAACTCCCCTGAGGCCAAATGTGCACCTCATGGCATATACAGTGTCAACGTTTATGATCACTATGTTTAATGGACCGCTACCAGATGACATGGCGTCGTACCCTGGGTTGTTCTGAACAGAATGAGCCTATGCTTGTCTATTGTAATTCACCACCTGAATGCGCTCAGGACTCCTTTCTATGGGCACCAAAATGAAGATCTGTTTTTCTGAATTACCCTGTGAAAGCCTAACACTGTAAGATCATATTTTATAACAAAGCTTGTCATGTTGGCAATAGAACAAGCTTTCAATTCATGCCCACCTGACCCAGATTGTGATTTATAATGGGTCCGTTTTTGGATTGCGTAAACAACAACAGTAATTGTGTGATGGCAGGGATGCAGGGCTGTGTTCCAAACTAAACAACTACCAGTGTGTTTGCTCTAGTTCCTCAACAGCACAGCTAGGAGAGCTCTTTAAAGCACCTTATAGTTGAAGACTCTTCTTTGAGTCATAAAAGTGCATTGAAATGACTTCGGAACTGCGATCACTTTGGAGAGGTGTGTGGCCACACGGAGACACCAGTTAGACCTCTCACTCAAACCCTTGTAATGTTTTTGTCTTATGTTGCACCTTTTCCAGGAATAGTCATGTTACTGAATGTATCCAGAGTATTTTCATAAAGTACAGTAAATATGAAATGCACATAAAATCAACAGGGTAATGTTTGGATTCAGTCTTGTGTCAGGTGAACTGTTACGTACTCACCTTTGGTCTAATAATTGTCCCATAATCTCCAAACTGTTCCCTTTCAATTGCTACCATGGTTATACTTTTCATATTTATTCTGTAAGAAACATTTACATTTAGCCCCTTCCATATAAGCCAATTCCCACCAGTTAAAGGGTTGATTGACTGATCCATCTATTGTCATATGGCTAATCTCCTCCTATCGTTGTCTTCTCAGGGACGTCCAGTGTGGCGAGGGCTTGGAGCGGAACCTTTGATGACCTCATCGGCAACGTCATGGGGGAGTTCTTCAAAGAAAACCTACACATGGACCTCCCGGGCCTCGCAGAATACCCAGACTTCTTTGCTGCTGGGCTCATTATGCTCCTGGCAGGTAAACTGAATCTGATGATTGATTGATTGGCTGATCATTGGTTCGTTTAACAACATAGAGACATTAAAACTGTCTGGTACTGATGATGATGATGATGATGATGATGGTGATGGTGATGGTGATGATGGTAATGATGATGATGATGATGGTAATGATGATGATGATGATGATGATGATGATGATGATGATGATGATGATGGTAATGATGATGATGATGGTGATGATGATGATGGTGATGGTGATGATGGTAATGATGATGATGATGATGATGATGATGATGATGATGATGGTAATGATGATGATGGTGATGATGATGATGATGATGGTGATGATGATGATGATGATGGAGATGATGATGATGATGATGATGGTGATAATGATGATGGTAATGATGATGATGGTAATGATGATGATGGTAATGATGATGATGGTAATGATGATCATGATGATGATGATGATCATGATGATGATGGTGGTGATGATGACGATGATGATGATGATGATGATGATGATGATGATGATGATGGTGGTGATGATGACAATGATGATGATGATGATGATGATGATTTTGATGATGATGGTTATGATGAACACATGTTCCACATGCTTCCATCCTGTGAAGGTCTGCTGGCCTTTGGTGTCCAGGAATCGGCAATAGTCAACAAGATCTTCACGGCCATCAACATCCTGGTCCTTCTGTTTGTCATTGTAGCGGGCTTCGTCAAGGGGGACATCGGTAACTGGCAGATCAGTCAGGAGGCGCTCATCAACGCTACAGCAGAATTCCAGTATGCAACCACGTTTGATTACAATACAAAAACGTTTGAGTAACAATACATGAGAAATCCTTCATCATACCAAACTTGTTAGCAACTTCAGTGGATGTTGAACACGTTTCTACAAACGTGTGTGAGTGTGTTATAGCAGTGGTATTAGCAGGAAATATTAGCGTGAATCTTTCAACCGAGATTTCTGGAAAACCAGGGAAGATTGGGAAAGTTACTAGAATTTTGAAACCCTATATACTCTTATATTGTCCTCTCCAGGAACCTAACCTCTACAGTCAATGTTACCAGTATATATGTCCTATATTGTGTCCTCTTCAGGAACCTAACCTCTACAGTCAATGTGACCCGTATATACAGTGCATTCTGAAATTATATAGACGCTTTGACTTTTCCACATTTTGTTACGTTACAGCCTTATTCTAAAATTGTTTTTTTCCCCCTCATCAATCTACACACAATAACCCATAATGACAATGCAAAAACAGGGTTTTAGAAATGTTAGCAAATTTACAAAAAAACTGAAATATCACATTTACATAAGTATTCAGACCCTTTACTCAGTACTTTGTTGAAGCCCCTTTGGGCAGCGGATTTTACCAGCCTCGGAGTTCTTCTTGGGTATGGACACTACAAGCCTTGGCACACCCTGTATTTGGGGAGTTTCTCCCATTCTTCTCTGCAGATCCTCTCAAGCACTGTCAGGATGGATAGGGAGTGTTCGGCTGCACAAAACTATATTCAGGTCTCTCCAGAGATCGTAGCTTGGGTTTTCAAAGTCCGGGCTATGGCCTGGGGCCACTCAAGGAAATTCAGAGACTTGTCTCCCAGTCCCTGACGCTGAAAACATCCCCACAGCATGATGCTGCCACCACCATGCTTCACCGTAGGGATGGTGCCAAGTTTCCTCCAGGCGTGATGCTTGGCATTCAGGCCAAGAGTTCAATCTTGGTTTCATCAGACCAGAGAATCTTGTTCTCATGGTGTTAGAGTCTTTAGGTGCATTTTGGCAAACTCCAAGCGGGCAGTCATGTGCCTTTTACTGAGGAGTGGCTTCCGTCTGGCCACTCTACCATACAAGCCTGATTGGTGGTGTGCCGCAGAGATGGTTGTCCTTCTGGAAGGTTCTCCCATCTCCACAGAGGAACTCTGGAGCTCTGTCAGAGTGACCATCGGGTTCTTGGTCACCTCCCTGAACAATGGCCCTTCTCCCCCAATTGCTCAGTTTGGCCGGGCGGCCAGCTCTAGGAAGAGTATTAGTGGTTCCAAACTTCTTCCATTTAAGAATGATGGAGTCCACTGTGTTCTTGTGGACCTTCAATAGATTTTTCACCTAGTCGGCTCGGGGATTAGAACCAGCGACCTTTTCGGTTACTGGCACAACGCTCTTACCCACTAAGCTTGGAAAAGTCCAATCAATTTAATTGACCACAGGTGGACTCCAATCAAGTTGTAGAAACATCCATAGGATGATCAATGGAAACAGGATGCACCTGAGTTCAATTTCGAATCTCATAGCAAATAGCAAAACATTTTTTACATCCATTTTAGAATAAGGCTGTAACGTAACAAAATGTGGAAAACATATAGGGGTCTGAATACTTTCCGAATGCACTGTCTGTCCTATATTGTGTCCTCTCCAGGAACCTAACCTCTACAGTCAATGTGACCAGTATATATGGGGATGGAGGGTTCTTCCCCTACGGTTTCGACGGGACAATCTCCGGAGCCGCTACCTGTTTCTACGCCTTCGTAGGCTTCGACTGCATCGCCACAACAAGTAGGCTTGCCTGCTTTGATCTTTGAACATGCACGGACACACTAACCTATATACATCAGAAACATTTCCATCCTACAGAAACATTGATAAAGCCAAGCAACTTTCCAAGCTTTGTCCATATAGTATCTTTGGTAATGTCTACTCTACTCAGAATATGTTTTGGGTGAATATTTAGGCACACTGTAACAGTCGATATTCTACATGATTAAACCTTGCTTGCTTAATTGACCAATAATGGCTGATTGATTGATCGACTGATCGACCAATCTACTGATTGACTGATCGGCCAAACGACTGATGGACTGATTGATGACAGCTCTCCATTAATTAATTAATTAATTCTCTCCAGGTGAGGAGGTGAAGAACCCTCAGAAGTCCATCCCGCTGGGCATAGTGGCGTCTCTCCTCATCTGTTTCCTGGCCTACTTCGCAGTGTCAGCGGCCCTCACACTGATGATGCCCTACTACATGCTCAATGTTAACAGCCCGCTGCCCGTGGCCTTCGAGTACATCGGCTGGGCGCCCGCCAAGTATGTGGTGGCTGTCGGCTCGCTCTGCGCCCTCTCCACCAGGTAGGTAGGAGAACACGGGAAGTCACTGGTCAGTGATGTCACCAGGCATCATTACAGTTGGTCGGTTGGCCTGTCTGTCTGTCTGTCTGTCTGTCTGTCTGTCTGTCTGTCTGTCTGTCTGTCTGTCTGTCTGTCTGTCTATTTGTCTGTCTGTCTCTGTCTGTCTATCTCCATTCTAAAAAGAGATAAACCATATTTACCAGGGTGCAAATGCTATGTATATCTGGTCTCATGTATTCTGTTGTTATAGTTGTTTTGCTGAGATTGTAGCGTGGCCCTGTGCTGAGTCAGCATGCCAAATGGCACCCTTATCCCTATATAGTACACTACCCCTGGTCAAAAGTGCACTATATAGGGAATAGGGTGCCTTTTGGGACATAACCTGAGAATGGAACATGACTGATGGCTCTCTGCGTCCGTCTGTCTGTCTCCTGTGCAGTCTGTTGGGTTCCATGTTCCCTATGCCCCGCGTACTGTTTGCTATGGCCAGAGACGGCCTCCTCTTCAAGCCCCTCAGTAAAGTCAGCGCCAGACAGAGTCCCGTCATCGCTACCATCTCCTCCGGGGTCGTGGCAGGTAACACCCCATCGATCTCTACCCTCTCCTCCGGGGTCGTGGCTGGTAACACCCCATCGATCTCTATCTCTCTCTCTATCCTCTCCTCCGAGGTCGTGGCTGGTAACACCCCATCGATCTCTATCTCTCTCTATCCTCTCCTCCGGGGTCGTGGCTGGTAACACCCCATCGATCTCTATCTCTCTCTACCCTCTCCTCCGGGGTCGTGGCTGGTAACACCCCATCGATCTCTATCTCTCTCTATCCTCTCCTCCGGGGTCGTGGCAGGTAACACCCCATCGATCTCTATCTCTCTCTACCCTCTCCTCCGGGGTCGTGGCTGGTAACACCCCATCGATCTCTATCTCTCTCTACCCTCTCCTCCGGGGTCGTGGCAGGTAACACCCCATCGATCTCTATCTCTCTCTCTACCCTCTCCTCCGGGGTCGTGGCAGGTAACACCCCATCGATCTCTGTCTCTCTCTACCCTCTCCTCCGGGGTCGTGGCTGGTAACACCCCATCGATCTCTATCTCTCTCTTGATTTCTTGATCGCTCTCTTTCTCTCTCTCTCTTAGAGATATAAAGAGTTTGTTGTGTTTTGCCTATGATATCTTTTGTGTAATGATTTATCTACAGTAAATACTTGAATGCTTGTTTGTTTTTCTTTCCAGCGATAATGGCCCTGGTGTTTGACCTGAAAGCATTGGTTGATATGATGTCAATTGGGACACTCTTTGCCTACACACTTGTGGCTATATGCATTCTTATACTTAGGTAAGTATTTCACAAATATCTAAACTTAGATAAACAGCAGTCCACTGTATTGATTTAGCAAAAATAAACGGTACTAAGTTGACTTTATAACATCTAGGTACCAAGAGACCAAATCAGAAGACTCAGATCTCCAGCTCCTTGAATCAAACACCAAGTTTGGTTGTCTTAAACCACCATCGTTCCCAACATCGGGCACCTCGAAAACAGTCACAGGTTTGACTGTATTTTCTGGTAAGTAAAACGGTTTGACAAGAAATTTCCAATACGTCTGTCTTTAAAGTTGCCACTTATAACAATGACAAATAATATTATTCAAAGATCTTCTACATTGTAAAGGTACTGGAGTATCTGCAGTGTAACATAATGTAGCCTTCCCCCTTTATTTCAGTCATTCTTCCATCGGCCTCCTCTCTCTCTGTTCAGTCATTCTTCCATCGGCCTCCTCTCTCTCTGTTCAGTCATTCTTCCATCGGCCTCCTCTCTCTCTGTTCAGTCATTCTTCCATCGGCCTCCTCTCTCTCTGTTCAGTCATTCTTCCATCGGCCTCCTCTCTCTCTGTTCAGTCATTCTTCCATCGGCCTCCTCTCTCTCTGTTCAGTCATTCTTCCATCGGCCTCCTCTCTCTCTGTTCAGTCATTCTTCCATCTGCCTCCTCTCTCTCTGTTCAGTCATTCTTCCATCGGCCTCCTCTCTCTCTGTTTAGTCATTCTTCCATCTGCCTCCTCTCTCTCTGTTCAGTCATTCTTCCATCGGCCTCCTCTCTCTCTGTTCAGTCATTCTTCCATCTGCCTCCTCTCTCTCTGTTCAGTCATTCTTCCATCGGCCTCCTCTCTCTCTGTTCAGTCATTCTTCCATCGGCCTCCTCTCTCTCTGTTCAGTCATTCTTCCATCTGCCTCCTCTCTCTCTGTTCAGTCATTCTTCCATCGGCCTCCTCTCTCTCTGTTCAGTCATTCTTCCATCGGCCTAATCTCTCTCTGTTCAGTCATTCTTCCATCTGCCTCCTCTCTCTCGGTTCAGTCATTCTTCCATCTGCCTCCTCTCTCTCGGTTCAGTCATTCTTCCATCTGCCTCCTCTCTCTCTGTTCAGTCATTCTTCCATCTGCCTCCTCTCTCTCGGTTCAGTCATTCTTCCATCGGCCTCCTCTCGCTCTGTTCAGTCATTCTTCCATCGGCCTCCTCTCTCTCTGTTCAGTCATTCTTCCATCTGCCTCCTCTCTCTCTGTTCAGTCATTCTTCCATCGGCCTCCTCTCTCTCTGTTCAGTCATTCTTCCATCGGCCTCCTCTCTCTCTGTTCAGTCATTCTTCCATCGGCCTCCTCTCTCCCTGTTCAGTCATTCTTCCATCGGCCTCCTCTCTCCCTGTTCAGTCATTCTTCCATCTGCCTCCTCTCTCTCTGTTCAGTCATTCTTCCATCGGCCTCCTCTCTCTCTGTTCAGTCATTCTTCCATCGGCCTCCTCTCTCTCTGTTCAGTCATTCTTCCATCTGCCTCCTCTCTCTCTGTTCAGTCATTCTTCCATCGGCCTCCTCTCTCTCTGTTCAGTCATTCTTCCATCGGCCTCCTCTCGCTCTGTTCAGTCATTCTTCCATCGGCCTCCTCTCTCTCTGTTCAGTCATTCTTCCATCTGCCTCCTCTCGCTCTGTTCAGTCATTCTTCAATCTGCCTCCTCTCTCTCTGTTCAGTCATTCTTCCATCTGCCTCCTCTCTCTCTGTTCAGTCATTCTTCCATCGGCCTCCTCTCTCTCTGTTCAGTCATTCTTCCATCGGCCTCCTCTCTCTCTGTTCAGTCATTCTTCCATCGGCCTCCTCTCTCTCTGTTCAGTCATTCTTCCATCGGCCTCCTCTCTCTCTGTTCAGTCATTCTTCCATCGGCCTCCTCTCTCTCTGTTCAGTCATTCTTCCATCTGCCTCCTCTCTCTCTGTTCAGTCATTCTTCCATCGGCCTCCTCTCTCTCTGTTCAGTCATTCTTCCATCTGCCTCCTCTCTCTCTGTTCAGTCATTCTTCCATCGGCCTCCTCTCTCTCTGTTCAGTCATTCTTCCATCTGCCTCCTCTCTCTCTGTTCAGTCATTCTTCCATCTGCCTACTCTCTCTCTGTTCAGTCATTCTTCCATCTGCCTACTCTCTCTCTGTTCAGTTGTTCTTCCCTCACCCCCTTCCTCTCTCTCTCTCTCCAGTGGTGTGTGTGTGCGGTCTGTGTGTCCTTCTGACCCAAGCCATGGACGCTATACAACGGCAGGAGATCTGGAGCCTGGTGTGTGTGTCCATCGTAGCCTTCATCCTCCTGGTTCTCGTCATCATCATCTGGAGGCATCCACAGAACCAAGCCAAGGCTGCTTTCATGGTGAGGAGCACCGTGGGAAGATGGACACCTGCACATAAAGGACGTTATCACAGCCTATTCAAACATCGCTGATTAGAGGATGTTATCACAGGCTATTCAAACATCGCTGATTAGAGGACGTTATCACAGGCTATTCAAACATCGCTGATTATAGGACGTTATCACAGGCTATTCAAACATCGCTGATTAGAGGACCTTATCACAGGCTATTCAAACATCGCTGATTAGAGGACCTTATCACAGGCTATTCAAACATTGCTGATTAGAGAACGTTATCACAGGCTATTCAAACATCGCTGATTAGAGGATGTTATCACAGGCTATTCAAACATTGCTGATTAGAGAACGTTATCACAGGCTATTCAAACATCGCTGATTAGAGGTCATTATCACAGGCTATTCAAACATTGCTGATTAGTGGATGTTATCACAGGCTATTGAAACATCGCTAATTCGCAATAATGATCAACCATTATCAGATGCAGCCTAACAGATCGTAATATCACTCAACCCCAATTTTTTTTGAACTACAGAACGTTTACCTTTGGGCCCAGACCCTGTGTGGTGCATTGTTTGTGTCTTTACGTTGACATTTCAGTAAAGTTCTCTTACCCCCTGCCCTCTGCTCCCAGGTGCCCTTCCTGCCTGTGCTGCCGGTAGTTAGTGTGTTTGTCAACGTCTATCTGATGGTCCAGTTAGGAGGAGACACCTGGATGCGATACGCCATCTGGATGGCCGTAGGTTAGTATTCTACCCAACACTTCTCTGCCCAATAACACATGCCACAAGCACTAAACTGAGAGGCTGGAAGGGATGGATGGGTCATTTTCTTGGGGTATCTGACCCTATATCAATAGGAGTGTGTGTTGGAGGTTGGTTGGAGGCTATATGTTGGAGGTTTCAGGGGTGGGCTCTCTATGTTTTTAGATTGTAAACTCTGATCTTCTACCATCTCTCTCTCTCTCTCTCTCTCTCTCTCTCTCTCTCTGTAGGGTTCCTCATCTACTTTGGTTATGGTATCCGTAACAGTGTTCAGAAGCAGAGGAACCAGACCAGCCAGGTGAAGATTGACACCATCAGCGGCATGACGGAGAAGGAGGCCTTCAAAGAAGAGAAGTTCTGAGGCTGAGTGGACAGTACAGGACAGGACAACACAGGACAGGACAACACAGGGCAGGACAACACAGGGCAGGACAACACGGGACAGAACTGGAGCTGACAGGACATGACAGGATAGAACTGGAGCTGACAGGACAGGACAGAACTGGAGCTGACAGGACAGGACAGGACAGAACTGGAGCTGACAGGACAGGACAGGACAGGACAGAACTGGAGCTGACAGGACAGGACAGAACTGGAGCTGACAGGACAGGACAGAACTGGAGCTGACAGGACAGGACAGGACAGAACTGGAGATGACAGGACAGGACAGGACAGAACTGGTCCTGACAGGACAGGACAGAAAAGAACTGGAGCTGACAGGACAGGACAGGACAGAACTGAGGCTGACAGGACAGGACAGGACAGAACTGGACCTGGCAGGACAGGACAGGACAGAACTGGAGCTGACAGAACAGGACAGAAAGTGTAGTCGGTCAAAACAACATTTAATTTATAACCATTATGTTTGTACATTTCCACTGTAGTTTTTCCAACTTTAAAATAATGTATTTTATGAGGAGATATCACTGTGGTCTTTGATCAGATATCTTTGTTTTCTCATTGGTTTGTCATGCAGTATTGGGAAAGATAGAATATGAAATGTCCAAAGGAAATACATGACAAGTTTTATGAGTTGATTAGTCAGCTGTTTAGTGCGCGTGAGATTTGGTTATGGGTTCAGAGATTGTGAGTTAATCTACCTTTGCATCTCTTAATGTCAGTCATTCTCTCTACATTAGTCAGAGGCCATGAAAGATTGTCTGAACACACCCCAAGATAATGTCAGCTATCGTAACAAAGCTCTAACAACTTATCAGATGTAAGTTCAAAACAATTTATCTGATTACAACACGATGAGGGGAAAGAGTGTTCAGATTAGCAAGAGAAGTTAATGTGCTTGCCCGAAAGCAAGAACAACTGCTGTATTTCCTACATACTCCAGGCTTATTAGTGTGCTTGATGACTAAGTTGCTTGAGAAAATCACTTTGATGCTATTTATACTTTTTGAACTATGACTACATAAAATACAATGCATTTAAATGGTCATAGACTTACAATGGAGATTTTTTGGGGATAGTACTGTTCTTCAACTGTTTATGCTAGTTACATCAAAAACAGCATGGGACCTTTTTCAAAAAGTTATTCAATGTATTCTACTACCATCAAAATAATGTTGGATGGCTGAAGCAAGCACACAATTTCTTTCTTAAGGAAAATTACACAGTATGTTGGAGTCCATTTAATCAGTTTATTTGAGCTTTTGTTTCCTCTACGCACCTGTGAACTAAGACGTGACTGAAGGTGTGCTAAAGTTCATGTAGTGCTTCACCCTACTTGTCAACTTGTCATTGTCCTGGCAATGATACGTGAAGCAAGCAAGTTTAAAATCCAAGATAGGTTTCTTGCGCCATTTCTCAGTGTCCAGTTTTATACATGTATACAAAAATGTTAACGCGTGTAGATATAGAATGTAGATATGAATCAAAAACATTTTTCTAGTGCATAGCTTATTTTAAGATTTTAACAGGTTGATATTTTAGTGTTTCATCATGTAGATATGAAAAATGGTATGTATACAATGCTGTAAATTACATACTGTAAATCTGGCAGTCAGTGCCGTTTCAGATGAGGGAGGAAGGCAGTTAAATGTAACATCGATAGGTTTAGGCTTCTACATGATACTATAATGTTCCCTGTACCCATCATGAGGTTGCTACAACCTAGCCTATGAATGAAAGTTTACAACGTAGGTGCACACAGGTCGAGAGACACATTTGACGTGACAGACTGTGACATTCAATACCGCCTTGCACGCTCTTGCCTGCATCTAGCTGATATAGGGTGTAATCATTAGTCCAACAGTTGCAAACGAGAGTTTCTATTGGACAAATTCAGGTATGTTTATCCTCGTTTTGTTCCGTTTGCTTCTGTTTTAGAAACGTTTTTTTCAACAGAGTCGGCGGATGAATACACCCCTGATCACGCGTGAAGACAGTTCCCAGTTTCATAGCAACCACTTTGTATTCCTTCTCGCATCTACGTTATGCGCGCTCCTCCTTTCACCTCTTTCCTTTGCTTGTGGACTTCAATGCACAACACATCAGCTGTATGTGACCAGGTGAAAAAACCTTTCCAAGCCAAACAGCCTACATCGTTGTCACCATATTGGCTAAAGTAACGTCATAGTCAACATATAGCTAATAGAGCTAATGCGTTAGTAAACCCGCTATAATCATGCAGTAACATTAGTGTACAGTCAGTAAGCAGTTACACCGGCGAGCCCTGGTGGCAATAAATTAGTAATACCAAAAGCTTACCTTGACTTGGAAGAGTTCCCGTGTTGTGTTGGAAAGTCATAGCCAGCTAGCTAACATAGCATCCCTCTGTTTCAGCAGGGTGTTTCAGTAGGCTAAACTAGCTAGCTGCATTTGCTAGCTAAGTAAGTGAAACTGAAAGTGAACAAAAAATGACGAAATCTCTCTCGCTCTATTTCTCTCTTGCTTCTCCTTCATTTAGGAATAAATTAATTTGTTCAAAACTGTTCAACTATTTTCTTTCTCTCTCTTTGAGTCAACTACTCACCACATTTTATGCACTGCAGTGCTAGCTAGCTGTAGCTTATGCTTTCAGTACTAGATTCATTCTCTGATCCTTTGATTGGGTGGACAGCATCTCAGTTCATGCTGCAAGAGCTCTGATAGGTTGGAGGACGTCCTCCGGAAGTTGTCTTTATTACTGTGTAAGTCTATGGAAGGGGTTGAGAACCATGAGCCTCCTAGGTTTTGTATTGAAGTCAATGTACTCAGAGGAGGACGGAAGATAGCTGTCCTCCGGCTACACCATGGTGCTACCCTACAGAGTGCTGTTGAGGCTACTGTAGACCTTCTTTGCAAAATAATGTGTTTTAATCAGTTATTTGGTGACGTGATTATATTTAGTATAGTTTTATCTAAAAAGGATAACCTTTTTTAATGTTTTATGAAATTCACTGAGGAGGATGGTCCTCCCCTTCCTCCTCTGAGGAGCCTCCACTGTGTGATGCGTGATTTGAATGAGTCAGGCGCAGGAGAGTAAATCACAGTATACAGAGTTTATTCCGTAATACAGCGTTAACCAGTCCAGTGCGCGTAACAGCGCACTGGAACAAACAGGCACACAGGGAAAATACCCCAGCAATACAAAAATACACTGAGCTCAACCGAGCTGCTAATCCTCACAATAAACAATCACACACAAGGACAAGGGGGCAGAGGGAACACTTATACATGTACTAATGAGGGGATATGAACCAGGTGTGTGTAATTGACAAGACAAGACAAATGGAATGATGAGATGAGGAGCGGCAGCGGCTAGAAGGCTGGTGACGACGAACGCTGAAGCCTGCCCGAACAAGGAGAGGAGGCAGCTTCGGAGGAAGTCGTGACACACTGCTGTAAATGCATCCCAAATAAACTTGATCATGTCCCATTTTCCTCAAAGTCTTCTTACTTGGGTCATTCATAAACTGTAACACATATATTTTCCATTGACCAAGGTGGGGTTGACGGCAGTGCTAAGCTTGGATAAAGAGCTAGCATAGTTTGTATCCCAAATAGCACCCTTTTTCCCTATATAGTGCACTACTTTTGACTGGGGCCTATAGGGCTCTGGTCAAAAGTAGTGCACTATATAGGGAATAGGGTGCAATTTGGGACAGAGTCATAGCGTGCCACTTACCTCCCTGTGTTCATGGGGGAACAATAGAACCATTCACATGTTCTTACCTAGGCCATGCTATAATCATGGCTTAGCAAGTAATTCCTAAAGCAAGGTTTAGTGCACTCACACACCACAGACATCTAGACCTGCGGTACAGTAGAGTTAATTAAGCACCATATAGGATACAGTACATTCCAATACTCCACTCTTTAATTACACCATATAGGATACATTCCAATACTCCACTCTTTAACTTTACACCATATAGGATACGTCAATACTCGACTCTTTAATTACACCATATAGGATACATTCCATACCCACTCTTTATGAGTTAATCACATATAGGCTCATCATACTCCACTCTTAATACACCATATAGGTACATTCCAATACTCACTCTTTAATTACACCATATTAATTCCAATACCATACACATATGGATATTACACCATATAGGATACATTCCAATACTCCACGCTTCTTTAATTACACGCATATAGGATACATTCCAATACTCTACTCTAATTACAACACCATATAGATACATTTCCAATACTCCCGCTTTAATTACACCATATGAGGATAGCATTCCAATACTCTACTCTTTATTAACCATAGGGAGACATTCAATACTCCTACTCTTTATTCACCATAAAAAAGGAATGATATGTGTATGTTATGGTAAAAAAAAGGAATGATATGTGTATGTTGTGGTAAAATAAAGATTGTGGAGACCATAGGTGGAGATGGCAGTACATTTGTAGATTTGGATGGTTGGGATTGTAATCACACATGCACACGCAGCACCCAGAGGTCTGCAGGAGTGATTTCTTGGTGTGTGTGTGTGTGTGTGTGTGTGTGTGTGTCTGTGTGTGTGTGTGTGTGTGTGTGTGTGTGTTATTCCGGCATGTTCAGGTCACGTCTTTCCACAGAAGGACCCACCTTTATGAACTCTTCTCTCCATGTGCTTACTGAGCTCAAAGGTATTCCATCATAGTTTCCATCACAACTGATGTTCTTTTTGAAGGTATTGTTACTCATCAACACACTGAGTGACAGCTGATGATTACAATTTAGGGTTCGATACAACTCAAACTGTATGAGTTGCCTTCATCACTATGCTGATATCTATTCAAATACCTATATTATAATGAACAAATCAATAATAACAGTTATGGAAGCATATACCATTCAATTTGAATGATGGCGGCTAAATGCTTCCATAAACAGAGGGTCCCACATGGGTGTGATTTTACTGTGTCATGAATGAGTAAGACATTACATTAGGCCTTCCATACAGTACCATTCATAAAAACACACGTTAAACTAGTGTTGGGGAGTAGTAAACTACATTTAGTTAAACTAGTAGTTTAACTACATTTTGCAGTAGCTTGGTGGTAGTTGAACTAAATTCTAATCTAGGTAGTGTTTGCAGTAGTTCATTATGTTTCCCCCGTGTAGCGGTGCAGCTAACTACTGGAACTACACACTACTGTTTTACCATGTAGCGGTGTAGCTAACTACTGGAACTACACACTACTGTTTTACCATGTAGCGGTGTAGCTAACTACTGGAACTACACACTACTGTTTTACCATGTAGCGGTGTAGCTAACTACTGGAACTACACACTACTGTTTTACCATGTAGCGGTGTAGCTAACTACTGGAACTACACACTACTGTTTTACCATGTAGCGGTGTAGCTAACTACTGGAACTACACACTACTGTTTTACCATGTAGCGGTGTAGCTAACTACTGGAACTACACACTACTGTTTTACCATGTAGCGGTGTAGCTAACTACTGGAACTACACACTACTGTTTTACCATGTAGCGGTGCAGCTAACTACTGGAACTACACACTACTGTTTTACCATGTAGCGGTGTAGCTAACTACTGGAACTACACACTACTGTTTTACCATGTAGCGGTGCAGCTAACTACTGGAACTACACACTACTGTTTTACCATGTAGCGGTGTAGCTAACTACTGGAACTACACACTACTTTTTTTGGCAAAAACTAAATAAAATGTGGGTGAAGTAGGCAATCATTTTTTCGGCATCAGACCTGCTTCATTCTCACTTGAATAGGCTAAACTACACATTCCGTTGACGTCTTACTCCAGAATGATCTGTTCTTGCAATTTGTATTCTATGACATTTCAGATTTAGATATGATAATTTATCACTAAGTAGTTTGGATGTAGTGAACTACTTTTTTAAAGAAACTTTAGTTAAATAAACTATATTTTTCTTAAGGGTAACTTTAGGATAGCTTAACTTCTTCCAGTGGACATAATTGGTAGCTTGGTAAACTATCTTTTCAGAGTAGCTTCCCCAACATTGCGTTAAACACATACTGTAATTGTTGTTAGCTTCCTGTTTCCTAAATGATGCAATACTTACTCCTAGAAACATCTGATCCATTTATTTACACCTCAGAGGAGCTTTGGGTATGTGGGGAAAACACAAGAGCTTTAGGAAAAACTGCTATAGAGTATACTGTATTAACGTCTTCAATGTAGTTCAGGGGGGCCATGCTCCTCTCCCTCTGTTACACTTCTCCAGCTAAACAAACTAAATCTAATGAGTGAGTAGTATTAGAAATGACCCTGTTGTTTACTTTGAAAAGATATGGCTTCTGTGGTTCAGAGGGCCACAGCCAACCTGCATGCCTCTCTTACTCCACTTCTCCAGCTAAATAAAGTCTAAGCTAACCAAAACACCTCAACGTCAACACAATGACAACCGTTGTTTACGTCTTCAAGGTAGTTCAGAGGGCCACTGCTACTATGCAAAGCTTTTTTCTCTCTCTCTCACGCCACTTCTCCAGCTAAATAAACAGTCTCTGCAGTCCCAGACGTAACGGGCGGAGGGGGCCTCCATTCCCGGCCCCTGATTGGACCACAGGCCCCTGAATGGCTCCATTGAGCACCACGGGAGGAATTTGGGGAGACTCTCTCTCTCCATCTCTCTCCCTCTTTCCCTCGATCTGCCTCTCTCTCTCTCTCTCTCTCTCTCTCTCTACTTCTTTCTCCCTCTCTCTCTCTCTCTCTCTCTCTCCTCTCTCTCTCTCTCTCTCTCTCTCTCTCTCTCTCTCTCTCTCTCTCTCTCTATCTCTCTCTCTCTCTCTCTCTCTCTCTTTCTTTCTTTCATTCTCTTTTGGTCCACAGTAGAAGAATGTGTGTGATTTGGCTAAACAGCTGACCACTCACTTCGCAGTCACGCAGCCAACCTCCTTCTCTCTCCCTCCCTCTCCCCTTCTCTCTCTCTAAACCCTTTCTTTCACTCCTTGTTGCGTTCCCTGTTGTACTGTGGTTGTGAACCCTGTGAACTGTAAATCCTGCGGTCAGTCAGTCGGTCGGTACATTGGTCTGTTCATCACGGGAGCCATGGCATCAGTAGAAGGTTCAGGGGAGAGGTGGAGGCTGGTGTTATTGGCGGCTCTCCTCATCTGTGGGTTAATCCTGGAGTTTGGTAAGGGACTTTATTTCCTCTCTGTGGATAATGTGCATTCCTGAACATACATTAGACTAGTGAGGTGCAGGAGATTAGTACATGTTCGCATTACTCTGACTTACTGTGAACTTTGATGGCATTTCTTGAGTCAGTTACATTTAATTTGGTTTCACCTCATGCTGTCTGTCTGTATAGTAAATTCCTTGCAGGATCTTCCTGTTATTGCCCTAGTATGGTTACCAATAGCATGCTACAATGTTTTAATCTAACATCAAATCAACATTAGACTCTTCATGCTTTTATTTGTTGCATTGACCTGCGCTTGTGACTATGGTTATGTGTATTTCAAAGAATAAAAATGCAATATTGGATACTTGCTCTGCAGGACAGTGCCAGCAGGATGATGGACGGACCACCCCACCAGGCCGTAAGCCCAACCCCAGTAAGGGTAAGCCAGTGAGGGGAGCAGGTAAAGCCACACCCAAACCCAGGGTTAAAGCAACACCGGCTCCCCCAGCAGCGGCCAACCAGGGACCTGTTCACCTGACACGGGTAGGTTTGAATACATTTCAAATTATTCACATGAGAGAACGCTTTGTTTTTTTTCATTTTCATAATCTTGAGGCTGCCATGACAGATTGGCATCTTCATCAAATCTCTACATATACATAGTGTACATTGAAAGGTAAACATTATGTACACAAATCAAAAAGCACTTGCATGTTTGAGATATTTGACACAATCAACGGATGTTGGTGGAGCAATGTCTACTAACGGGTGCAAATTACAAACATTCAACAAAAGCTCTGACGAAGGTCGACACGTAAGCTTGAATAAAAATGAGTGATACTAGCAAAAAGCAGTGTGAGGGCATCTCTTTTGTTTAAACATAACGAACACTAAAGGTAAACTGCCATGCATGTTTCTCCTCCCCTGGTTTATACCGTAGGTGGTGAAGAAGGGGAAGTTCCAGCGTGTGGAGGACAGTCTGAGCGTCCGGGCCGGTGACACCCTGGAGCTGAGGTGTAAAGGGAACCCTGTTGCCTGGGGCGTTCCTGCTTACCTGGAGGAGGACGACGAGGGGAGACTCAAGTGAGACTCCGGTCTTGACGATGTGATGGGACAGGGTGCCATGGAAACAGGCCTCCTGTATAAAACTTAAATAATAACATCTTGCCAGGATGTCCAGTCCAATATTAGTTGCTGAGTCATTTCACATTGGTTTTGTGTGTGAGGGACTCATTTCTCTGTTTGTGTAGAGATGCTGTATGTAGGCCTGTGTGGCTCCGGTGTGAGGGACACTTGTTTCTTTGTGTTTGTATAGGACTGTGCAGCATGACCGGTACGGCACCCTGACCCTGTCCAACTCTACAGGAGCAGACACTGGAGAATACACCTGCTTCCCCATGTACTGTGAAGACCGGGACTGCAGGAAGGAGTACGACAAGGCTGTCAAAGTCTTTGTCTTCTTCCCTGGTACTAAGTCCCCACCTCCTGACAAAAAATCAAATGAAGTTGTATTGGTCACATACACATATTTAGCACATGTTATTGGGGGTGTATGGCAAAATGCATGGTAACAACATAGGAGTTGTTACCATGTCTGCGTCCGAAATGGCACCCTATTCCCTATGTAGTGCACTACTTTTGACCAGGGCCAATAGGCCCATTCTTTGACCGAAGAAGTGCACTACATTGGGGTTGGGAATAGGATGAACTCTGAGACACAAGCCTGTGTAATCACCTGCAGTTTCTAGGTCCCAAATGGCACCCTATTCCCTATGTAGTGCACTACTTTTAGCCAGGGTCCATAGGGCCCCCATAGGGTTCTGTTCAAAAGTAGTGCACTACATAGGGAAAGGGTGCCATTTGGGCCGCACAGTATAACAGTTGTCTGCCCCCCACCCCCTCCCAGACCCCCAGGAGCTGTTCGTCCCCTCCTCCTCCTACTATGAGGTCATCCAGCTGAGGACCAATTGGCCAACAGTCCTCCCCTGTCAGGTGACATCACCTGATGCCAAGGTGAGTTCAGAACAGATCTGTTGGGATTAGATTAGATAATACAGAATTACCTCTTTGAAAATACATTTTTTGCTTTGAAAAACTTTACTTAACAGCTATAGAGGTATATAATGCATTGGGACACAGTTATAGTGCATTATAAGACTTGCCATAAGCACATTTGACCATGCGCTTATCATCTTTTACTATTATCTCATAATGTCCTACAATTTATGTGGGGGGAAATACACAAAATCCTGTAGCCGTACTACACCACTTTGTCTATACGCGAGGTGAGGTCCTCAGGACTAAGCTAAACATAACAGGTTCTTTACATCAAGGGAATCAGACAATAATATCACTATTAACTATTCATTTTCATTTTCAGCGTCACAAAAAAAGGCCCAATCTCCATAGGCCTACATCTCCAGCTCCAGGAGCTCTGAACAACTGTCCTACAAGACAGACTTCAACAGATAGAAATATCAGATTTATCAAAAAAAAGCAAAAATCACTAGGTTTATGCGTTTTATTCACACACTCAAACGGACATTTAATAACGTGTTGCAACACTCACGGAGGGCGTGCCCAGGGAGAAGGAGAGCAGGTCTAGGTGAAATATGGGCGCCAACGCCTTAAACCACAACATTTACAATCATTCCTTTGTTTAAAAAAAACACCATCACCAATCCCGTTCTCCCAAGGCACGCCAACCAGTACATAGCAAGGGGATGCCCTGAATGACTCCATGGAGAATAAGAGCACTTCCTCCCAGCTGCCCACTGCACTGAGGCTAGGAAACACTATCACCACCGATAAATCTACAATAATCGAGAATTTCAACAAGCATTTTGCTACGGCTGGCCATGCTTTCCACCTGGCTACCACTACCCCGGCCACCAACTCTGCACCCTCCGCTGCAACTTGCCCATGCCCCCCCTGCTTCTCCTTCACACAAATTCAGACAGCTGATGTTCTGAAAGAGCTGCAAAATCTGGACCCCTACAAATCAGCTGGGCTAGACAATCTGGACCCTTTCTTTCTAAAACTAGCCGCCGAAATTGTCGCAACCCCTATTACTAGTCTGTTCAACCTCTCTTTCGTAACGTCTGAGATCCCCAGAGATTGGAAAGCTGCCACGGTCATCCCCCTCTTCAAAGGGGGTGACACTCTAGATCCAAACTGCTACAGACGTATATCCATCCTGCCCTGCCTTTCGAAAGTATTTGAAAGCCAAGTTAACAAACAGATCACCGACCATTTCGAATACCACCGTACCTTCTCCGCTATGCAATCCGGTTTCCGAACTGGTCATGGGTGCACTTCAGCCACGCTCAAGGTCCTAAACGATATTATAACCGTGATTGATAATAGACAGTGCTGTGCAGCCGTCTTCATCGACCTGGCCAAGGCTTTCGACTCTGTCAACCACCGCATTCTTATTGGCAGACTAAATAGCCTTGGTTTCTCAAATGACTGCCTCGCCTGGTTCACCAACTACTTCTCAGATAGAGTTCAGTGTGTCAAATCGGAGGGCCTGTTGTCTGGACCTATGGCAGTCTCTATGGGGGTGCCACAGGGTTCAATTCTTGGGCCGACACTTTTCTCCGTGTATATCAATGATGTCGCTCTTGCTGCTGGTGACTCTCAGATCCACCTCTACGCAGACGACACCATTTTGTATACATCTGGCCCTTCATTGGACACTGTGTTAACAAACCTCCAAACGAGCTTCAATGCCATACAACACTCCTTCAGTAGCCTCCAACTGCTCTTAAACTCTAGTAAAACTAAATGCATGCTTTTCAATCGAACGCTGCTGGCACCCGCCCACCCGACTAGAATCACCACTCTCGACGGGTCTGACCTAGAGTATGTGGACAACTACAAATACCTAGGTGTCTGGTTAGACTGTAAACTCTCCTTCCAGACTCACATTAAGAATCTCCAATCCAAAGTTAAATCTAGAATCGGCTTCCTATTTCGCAACAAAGCCTCCTTCACTCATGCTGCCAAACATGCCCTCGTAAAACTGACTATCCTACCGATTCTTGACTTCGGCGATGTCATTTACAAAATAGCCTCCAACACTCTACTCAGCAAATTGGATGTAGTCTATCACAGTGCCATCCGTTTTATCTCCAAAGCCCCATACACTACCCACCACTGTGACCTGTACGCTCTTGTTGGCTGGTCCTCACTACATGTTCGTCGTCAAACCCACTGGCTCCAGGCCATCTATAAATCACTGCTAGGCAAATCCCCGCCTTATCTTAGCTCATTGGTCACCATAGCAGCACCCACCCGTAGTCTGCGCTCCAGCAGGTATATCTCACTGGTCATTCCCAAAGCCAACACCTCCTTTGGCCGCCATTCCTTCCAGTTCTCTGCTGCCAATGACTGGAACGAATTGCAAAAATCTCTGAAGCTGGAGACTCTTATCTCCCTCACTAACTTTAAGCATCAGTTGTCAGAGCACCTTACCGATCACTGCACCTGTACACAGCCCATCTGAAATTAGCCGACCCAACTACCTCATCCCTATATTGTTATTTATTTTGCTCCTTTGCACCCCAGTATCTCTATTTGCACATAATCTCTTGCACATCTATCATTCCAGTGTTAATACTAATTGTAATTAATTTGCACTATAGCCTATTTATTGCCTAACCTCCATAACTTGCTACATTTGCACACACTGTATATATATTTTCTGTTGTATTTTTGACTTTATGTTTTTTTTTACCCCATATGTAACTCTGTGTTGTTGTTTTTATCGCACTGCTTTGCTTTATCTTGGCCAGGTCGCAGTTGTAAATGAGAACTTGTTCTCAACTGGCTTACCTGGTTAAATAAAGGTGAAATAAAAAATAAATAAATAAAATGACACAAACAGGAAGGCTTTTATACAAAAGGCCGCACCCGTAGCTCTTTCCTGCAGTCGAATGACCTAGAGGCCTCATGGGTGGAATGGTATTAATATTGTTAATTAATAATTAATCAACATTATAAAAAAAAATAAAAAAAACGGAAAATCCAGTGTTTCTATGTCAAAACGGTTTTGTTATATTTCAGTCTTCTGTGATGTATATAAGGTGTAATATTGGATGCACACTCAAAACTGAATGCATTTCAACTCCTATATCTAACATGGTACAGGCATCTTCTTCTTTTTAAGCCCATAACCATGTGTGTGATGGCTATACCTTTTTTTTTCAAAGTAGATTTGTGTATTTTTAATTCACAATCTGTAGAAGCAATGAGAATAGAAAGGTTCAGAACTTTTGTAAAACATCACAGTACGGTTGAAATATATATGGCAAATAGAAATCCTATATGGATGGTGTCAAGAGATAGATGGGAGGTATTGCATAGAGTTGAAGGATGGGACTAATAACAAATAACAACAAATAATAACAAAGATAGCTAATAATGTAAGCATACTGTGTCCATAATAAGTATATAGGTTGTATGTTGGGAGCTTTTGGGAAAGAGCACAGTTAGAATGTGGTCCTCTGTAGCTCAGCTGGTAGAGCACGGCGCTTGTAACGCCAAGGTAGTGGGTTCGATCCCCGGGACCACCCATACACAAAAAAACAAAACAAAAATGTATGCACGCATGACTGTAAGTCGCTTTGGATAAAAGCGTCTGCTAAATGGCATATTATTATTATTATTAAGAAAGATATGGCATATAGAAGCAAACCGGATGGACATCATGAAAATGATCGGAGAGGTTGAGAGTAGAAGAAGTTCATGAGCAAAAAAAAAAAAAATATATATATATATATATATAATATAATTATTGTAAAATTAACTGTGTCCATAAGGTGTAGATAGTAAGTATAGACCGGAAGTAGAGGCCTGGGCATTGTTGTTCACTAATTTACCCCAAGTAGGGAAAGGATGGCGGGGTTGAAAAGTAATAAAGGGGAGTATATATATAGAAAACATGGGGGATTGGAAGTGATGCAGACAATTACATTGATAGAAGATACAATATATCTGCAATATTAAGCTGATCCACCCCCCCCCCCCAAAAAAATAAAAAAATAAAGTTTATTTTTTTAAGACTACCAAGAAACACTCTGTGTGACCCTGATTTAGCCCACTGCAGTAAAAGGTTAATTAACAATCAACATACACCTGGCATAGGCAGATCAACAAGGGTCCGTTCAAAATAGGTTGAAGGTTCTACCCCGTTATACTTACGGTGTCCATATTAGGACAGCCTCAAATCCTTGTGACCCTGAGACTGTCCTAATATGGACACCGTACCAAACAACTATAGTCAAGAATATGTTGTCCACTCACTATAAAGTAATTAACTCACCTGGTCATCCGTAGGTGTCTCTGCACCGGGAGTTTCCCCCAGTAGAGGTGGCGGTGGACGGGGCAGAGATCACATTTAACGTTAAACAGGGATTCACAATCCACCGGCCCAAGCTACACCATGCCGGGGAGCTGTACTGTGTCGCCAGCCTTGGAAACCTCAGACAGAGCTCCGTCAAGTACATGCTCATATACGTCAACTGTAAGTCCATGGTTTTGTCTCATATTTTTTTTTTACCTTAAACAACAGCTAGCCTCTTCCCCAGGGGTGGCCAACTCATAGAATTAGAATGATTAGACATTCCTTGTCAAGTCAACGTTCCTTGATGGTTTGACTGGCAGACATATTGACTGTCATATCTGTGTTGTCCCCTTGCTGTCAGACCCGGTGGCGCCCCCAGCCCCAGTGATCCAGGCGTCCTCCAGCTCTGTGGCCATTGGTCAGAACCTACAGGTCACCTGTACTGTGATTGGAGAACAGGACGTGGTCATAGACTTCACCTGGGAGTACCCTGGGCAACAGGTATGTAATTGTGCTAAATAGGTCTGCCATGCTTGAGGTCAATCATTTATCATATCAATGAGTAGGATTACAGGACACGTGCAATACTCTACCTCCTGTTTTATGATGAGACAAACCTCTTGGCAGAAGCTATACACTATATACAGTAGAGAGAGGCTATATACAGTACAGAGAGGCTATATACAGTAGAGAGAGGCTATATACAGTAGAGAGAGGCTATACAGTAGAGAGAGGCTATATACAGTAGAGAGAGGCTATATACAGTAGAGAGAGGCTATATACAGTAGAGAGGGCTATACAGTACAGAGGGCTATATACATAGAGAGAGCTATACAGTACAGAGAGCTATACCAGTAGAGAGGCTATAATACGTTGGAGAGAGGCTATATACGTACAGAGGCTATATACAGTACAGAGAGCTATATACAGTAGAGAGAGGCTATATACAGTAGAGAGAGGCTATATACAGTGAGAGTATAAGAGAGGCTATATACAGTAGAGAGAGGCTCATAGACTATAGTAGAGAGGCTATATACAGTAGAGAGAGGCTATATACAGTAGAGAGAGGCTATATACAGTAGAGAGAGGCTATATACAGTAGAGAGAGGCTATATACAGTAGAGAGAGGCTATACAGTAGAGAGAGGCTATATACAGTAGAGAGAGGCTATACAGTAGAGAGAGGCTATATACAGTAGAGAGAGGCTATATACAGTAGAGAGAGGCTATATACAGTAGAGAGAGGCTATATACAGTAGAGAGAGGCTATATACAGTAGAGAGAGGCTATATACAGTAGAGAGAGGCTATATACAGTACAGAGAGGCTATATACAGTACAGAGAGGCTATATACAGTACAGAGAGGCTATATACAGTACAGAGAGGCTATACACAGTACAGAGAGGCTATACAGTAGAGAGAGGCTATACACAGTACAGAGAGGCTATATACAGTACAGAGAGGCTATACACAGTACAGAGAGGCTATATACAGTAGAGAGAGGCTATACACAGTACAGAGAGGCTATACACAGTACAGAGAGGCTATACAGTAGAGAGAGGCTATATACAGTAGAGAGAGGCTATATACAGTACAGAGAGGCTATATACAGTACATAGAGGCTATATACAGTAGAGAGAGGCTACAATTGTAACCTGCTTGTTTATTTGTGCTGTGGTTTTGTGATCGGCAGATCGGCAGGCCTCTGTACACCCAGGACAGTGTTCATCCGGAGGGAGGGGGTCTGGGGAGGCAGCAGTCCCAGACCGTCCTCCTGGTGGATGGGGTGAGGGACGTGGACGGAGGAACTTACACCTGCACCGCCCAGAACCTGCAAGGCTCCAGAACCACCTCCACCACCGTCAAGGTGCTAGCTGCGGCTGCGGCTGCTGCTAAGGACAAAGCCCAAGACAAGCCCAAGCCCAAGAAACCCTGAGATTCAATTGACTTCAGATCAGAGATAGGCGAGGGATGGGATGGAATAGCCACCAAAGGAGAAGGAAGTAGCTTACCAGGATGGAACTGGAACTTTGGTTCTAATTCCATGGGTGTTTTTAAACGACCATTCTACTCCTGACATCACTATAGTATACTGCTGTATAACTATAGGGCTCAATAAGTCAGCTCTCATGTATATTCAACAGCCAGGAGTAGTTACCACACACAGAGCATACAGGGTTTACACAGGGCGGAGGGGAAGAGAAAGATGGCCGGAAGAATACAAATTGGGGAGAGAGAGAGAAGGGGGGGGGGGGGGGGGGGGGGGGGTGCAGAAATAGAGAGGGACAGACAGCATTCTGAGCATCTACATTGTAGTGAATGTATTACGATAGACACAATTAATGGATTACAAATCCTAGAGGACTATGCAGTAGAATAACGCTCCTGTATCGATGCAGATTTAAAGGACCATCATGTGGTCCTCTGTAGCTCAGCTGGTAGAGCACGGCGCTTGTAACGCCAAGGTAGTGGGTTCGATCCCCGGGACCACCCATACACAAAAATGTATGCACGCATGACTGTAAGTCGCTTTGGATAAAAGCGTCTGCTAAATGGCATATTATTATTATTATCAGACTTTTACCTTTGGTGGATGTTTCTGTATTGCAGGTAGTGTTCATTCTCCTCTCCACTTTCAACCGACAGGTTTGTTGTTTTCTAGTGTTATCTCTTCCTACTTCTATTTGTCTAATAAAAAAATGCTTTCATAGCCTACACGTAACCTTCTGTAATGCGTCGTTTATTGTCTGATGGTCAGATTGTGTCATGGACCAATACAGGTCAATATGAGGCATCATTTTTGCCGTGGTGTGCGACAGAGAGACAGAGGCTTGCATCCCAAATGGCATCCTATTCCCTATATAGTGCACTAATTTTGACCAGAGAATGGTACCCTATTCCCTATATAGTGCACTACTTTTGACCAAAGCCCTGTATTGGGAGTCACAGAGAGATAGAGAACACAGACAGTCTTAACATAATGGCTGTTTGTTTGGTTCAGGTGTAATCAGGCTCAAATAAAGGGTCCAGGAATCTTTAACAATCAATCGTTTCATTAACTTAAAATCGGTGCTAAAAGTGAGTTTACATGAAACTCTCCGAAACGTACAAAAAAATGCATTTAAATAAATATATTTTAATATGCGAAAGGTGGTATACAGAGCTGGCATCTGCTCTGACTGTGCTGTTCAGCTGCTACATTGACCTTCACTGGTAAGAGCCTCAAAGTAAAGGTTTCACACCCATTGCTCAGATACGGAAATACTTTCTCTGTGAAGGTGTGTGTGAATGTGTGGAGAAGTTTGTTGTAATGAGAATCAGAGAAGGTCAGCGTTCCTCCATCCCAGTCCAGAGTCACTCTGATCCTCAGGGGCTCCTTTCTCAGCTTCAGCGAGAGGGTGATGGGAGGCTCGGGGACAGAGCGTACGGTGTTAACCCCTCCATGTTGCTCTAACCTCCAGCCTCCCTTCTCTATCAAGCCCTTCCTGGACACAGACTCCTCCACCACCCCCAGGGCCCAGTCCCTGCTGTGCCCGTATCTCTGGAGATATTCATTCCTGACTTCCACGTCCCAGGTGTGTGTCCCCGAATCGAAGCCCTCAGAGCCCAGGATCCCTTCATAGAGGTTGAACCTCTCTGAGGTGTCAGGAACCGGCGTCTCCATCTCTTCTCTCTCCCCGGAGTTTCTGGCTCTGAACGTGACCATATCGGGGTACACCAGCACGTCTGGATGGGCCGTGTTGGGGTCCAGAGTCACCGGATCTGAACACAGAGAGACAGACAGTGTGTTATTGTACTGTATAATAAAGACAATGTATAGGTATGTTTTTACACAAATACAGTAACTCTACCACATAAACACGGTAACTCTACCACATAAATAAGGTAACTCTACCACATAAATACAGAACCTCTACCACATACATACAGTAACTAGCTCTGACTTTTCTCTTCCTATCAGCTCTGACTTTTCTCCTCCTACCGGCTCTGACTTTTCTCCTCCTATCAGCTCTGACTTTTCTCCTCCTACCGGCTCTGACTTTTCTCCTCCTATCAGCTCTGACTTTTCTCCTCCTACCGGCTCTGACTTTTCTCCTCCTATCAGCTCTGACTTTTCTCCTCCTATCAGCTCTGACTTTTCTCCTCCTATCAGCTCTGACTTTTCTCCTCCTATCACGGCTCTGACTTTTCTCCTCCTATCAGCTCTGACTTTCTCCTCCTATCAGCTCTGACTTTTCTCCTCCTATCAGCTCTGACTTTTCTCCTCCTACCGGCTCTGACTTTTCTCCCCTACTAGCTCTGACTTTTCTCCTCCTACCGGCTCTGACTTTTCTCCTCCTATCAGCTCTGACTTTTCTCCTCCTACCGGCTCTGACTTTTCTCCTCCTATCAGCTCTGACTTTTCTCCTCCTACCGGCTCTGACTTTTCTCCTCCTATCAGCTCTGACTTTTCTCCTCCTACCGGCTCTGACTTTTCTCCTCCTATCAGCTCTGACTTTTCTCCTCCTATCAGCTCTGACTTTTCTCCTCCTACCGGCTCTGACTTTTCTCCTCCTATCAGCTCTGACTTTTCTCCTCCTATCAGCTCTGACTTTTCTCCTCCTATCAGCTCTGACTTTTCTCCTCCTATCAGCTCTGACTTTCTCCTCCTATCGCTCTGACTTTCTCCTCCTACAGCTCTGACTTTTCTCCTCCTATCAGCTCTGACTTTTTCTCCTCCTACCGGCTCTGACTTTCTCTCTATCAGCTCTGGACTTTTCTCCTCTATAGCTCTGACTTTTCCTCCCCTACCCGGCCTCTGACGTTTCCCTCCTACCAGCTCTGACTTTTCTCCCCCTATCAGCTCTGACTATTCTCCTCCTATCAGCTCTGACTTTTCTCCTCCTACCAACTCTGACTTTTCTACCCTGCCAGCTCGGACTTTTTACCTCCAACCAGCTCTGACTTTTTCTCCCCTACCAGCTCTGACTTTTCTACCCGGCCAGCTCTGACTTTTCTACCCTGCCAGCTCGGACTTTTCTCCCCTATCAGCTCTGACTTTCTCCCCCTATCAGCTCTGACTATCTCCTCCTATCAGCTCTGACTTTCTCCTCCTACCAGCTCTGACTTTTCTACCCTGCCAGCTCGGACTTTTTACCTCCAACCAGCTCTGACTTTTCTCCCCTACCAGCTCTGACTTTTCTACCCTACCAGCTCTGACTTTTCTACCCTGCCAGCTCTGACTTTTCTCCCCTATCAGCTCTGACTATTCTCCTCCTATCAGCTCTGACTTTTCTCCTCCTACCAGCTCTGACTTTTCTACCCTGCCAGCTCGGACTTTTTACCTCCAACCAGCTCTGACTTTTCTCCCCTACCAGCTCTGACTTTTCTACCCTGCCAGCTCTGACTTTTCTACCCTGCCAGCTCGGACTTTTCTCCCCTATCAGCTCTGACTTTTCTCCCCCTATCAGCTCTGACTATTCTCCTCCTATCAGCTCTGACTTTTCTCCTCCTACCAGCTCTGACTTTTCTACTCTGCCAGCTCAGACTTTTTACCTCCAACCAGCTCTGACTTTTCTCCCCTACCAGCTCTGACTTTTCTACCCTACCAGCTCTGACTTTTCTACCCTGCCAGCTCTGACTTTTCTCCCCTATCAGCTCTGACTTTTCTCCTCCTACCAGCTCTGACTTTTCTACCCTGCCAGCTCTGACTTTTCTCCCCTACCAGCTCTGACTTTTCTCCCCTACTAGCTCTGACTTTTCTCCCCTACTAGCTCTGACTTTTCTCCCCCTACTAGCTCTGACTTTTCTCCCCTGCCAGCTCTGACTTTTCTCCCCTTACTAACTCTGACTAAAGTAATCAAGTATTAACCTCCAAATTAACAGAAAGACTGCATCCCAATGTCATCCTGTATAATTACCATGATGTATTTTTCTGTTTGACCACAGGTTAGTTTGGCTTCAGTGTAAAGTCTCAGCTTCTCCTTCAAGGGCTCCAGTTCAGCCTTTACTCAGATAAACAGTAATGACTCTTCGTACACAGTAAAACATATCTGTCTAACTCACTAAATGAATTGAGTAAAGTAAACTCAAACAAATGCAAAGTTATACTGTATTAATGTTATAAGCAATATTAATTGCAATACGTCAAAGCAACTCAATCCCTTGTAATTTAAAGGTAGACTCAGTAATACGACATCATTGTAGGTAGTGAGTCGACTTCCAGCTTACATACATTGAGACACGCCCACATTGGGAAGAGCCAATAGGGGCAGACTTTGTCTGATTTGAATGATGTTGTTGTTGTTGTAGCCAGGAAGTAACTCAACCATCTGTGTATAATGCTGCCATATTACCGATTCTACCTTCAAATATCTCAGATAGGCTATGGGTTGAATTCAATCTGTATCGCCAAAGTATCGCGGAAGATCTGCGTTAAAATGTGAAGATAATTTCTGATTGCGCCGTCATATTATATGCAGCGTTTATCGTGAATGCAGTCTCCACGACTGGGGGAACATTGGCTTTAATTGTCAGTCGCTCTATAAAGCAGATCAGCCCCCCGTGTAGCTCAGTTGGTAGAGCATGGGGCCTGCAACGCCAGGGTTGCGGGTTCGATTCCCACGGGGGGCCAGTATGAAAAAATAAATTAAAATAAAAAAATGTATGCACTCACTAACTGTAAGTCGCTCTGGATAAGAGCGTCTGCTAAAATGACAAAAAATGTAAATGTAAATCTTCAGCGCTACGGATTGAATAGAGCTCTTCTTGTCCTACCCGCTGGTCCTGGACAACTTCATCTATGGGACAGAACTTGTGTCCTGTATGTTGTCTTGAGTCACGACACACCAAACAGACAGAAGAGCTTGAGTTTCTCTTTGTGTTGACCACAGAGCCTCTCAGACCCAGGCTCTGGAGCTCCTCTCCTGTAGGATTGATTGATTTCACAATTTCAAAGAAATATACGTACACAGCCCTATGGGCTCCGGTCAAAAGTAGTGCACTAAATGTGCCATTTGGGGCACATGAATCATCATAGGTAGATCTCCCACCTGTAGGAACCCCTCACACAGCCTCTTCAGAATGAGGCTGACCGCTGGGAAAGGCATGGAGGATCTCTTCCTGCAGACTGGACACTCCTGATCGTCTTTATGCTTCCAGTACTCCTCCATGCAGGTCTTACAGGCACTGTGGCTGCAAGGGAGAACCACAGGATCCCTGAAGATATCGTAGCACACGGGACAGAGGATA